CATTTGCTTTTAGGGCTCCCCATTCCACACTTCCCGAAACCTATTACTAAACTTGTCAACCATGTTCTCACTGCAGCAAGATGCCTTATAGCATTAAAATGGCGACAAGTTACTTCCCCGTCCCACGTAGAACTGGTGCGAAGGATCCATGAAATTTACAATTTTGAATACCTAACGGCCCGATTACACAATACTATCCATGAATTCGAACAGGTGTGGTCCCCGTGGCAATCACTTGAAAACACCAATGGCGATGCCTTGCTCTCCGACGTTTTATCACTCCCCGTGAACACGACATAAGATGCACTCTCTATACTCCCCTTCTTCCTTTTTTTCCTCCCCTTTTTCTTTTCATTATATTATTGTTAAATTATTGTTTAAACCAGTTAGGTATATGTTTTATGATGATTTAATTGCTTTTCAACTATTGTTATAGTTGACCTATATCTTTATACCAACACCAAAACCTGAATAAAAACTTAAATTACTAAAAATACTCTCTGATTTGGGTCACCTAATCAAAAGTACCTCAGGGCTGGAGTACATCTATTACCAGTACCCGGCCAATGTGTGTGTCTATAATTTTATATTTTACTTGTTCTGTTCTTACATTGTAAATATGTTTTTAATCATTCCCTTTAACCACCCACCAATATGGATTTTTAGTTCTTCAAACTACTGCACATGTCCCATCGCACTCCTGAACGGTAGATCTCCTCGAAGTGAGTGCAGCAGTGACAAGGTGTCACGCTTATGGGGAATTTCTAAATGGTGGATCTCAACTGCGGAGGGGTTTCCCTATGGAGCCAATCAGATACGAATCTCAGGCGTCACTCGCAATCTTAACGGCGAGTTTGAGATTCTACCATCATAGTCAGGCAAATAATATTAGTAGTGACAGCACTATTACTTCATAGGCTGTAAGCAATCAGTGGTTAAGGTGCAGGTAAATAGCTCAATGCAGATGACACTGGTGTATTAGCAAGACTCTGGCATCAATCGAGGTACACAGTCTATGTAAGAAGCAGACACAGTCTCAATGAGGCAACACTCCAAAGGGAGTAGTACTTGCAGTTCTGTATACAGAGGGTGGTATTGAAGTCCAGCAGAGAGGTCCCAGTCTTGGTTGTCAGCAGTGTGGTATCCAGGTTCAGGAGGCAGCAGGCGTTCTGACCTCAATAACGGAACGCCATGCTGCCTCGCTCGTCTCCTTAAATAGTGTCAGGAATTAAGGGAGGGACCGCTGATCGGCCCGATCGACTTCCGCGTTCCACCGTGGAACGCAGCCGCCCACTCACAAGCCGGAACTCGTGCCGCTTCTGCGTTCCACGGTGGAACGCAGAGGGGCCGCGGCGGAGACTGGAGCAAGCGGACTTACGGCGTTACACAAGGCACCACAATATCATGTCTGAACGTGCGAATTGTGGCCGTCAGCGACTAGTCAATGTTAGGGCAGAACGGGGGAGGGGCAAGACTGGTACAAGACAACAGAAGGGCAACAGCGCCGTGTCAGATTCCTCGCATCACCTTTCATCATCTCGTGGAGTCACGAGGCGGCCCAACGAAGTACTGATGTGGTGGTCATAATAATCTGCCCACTCAGTGTATAGAAACGTCACTGGCACACCAACTGTGATATATTTTCATCTTTTATTGATGCAAGTGGAACATATCACAAAGCATACAACGTTTTGGTACAACAGCAGGTCCCTTCATCAGACCATCTATGTGATATCAAGTGAAGACGAACAACCATAAATACACCAGTGTGAGTTAGCAAACCAATAAAAGATCACTCACCCACCACCATGGCACCACTGAGACATCATGGGGGTGGAGAGTGATCTGCAAATTTGAAAGATGAGGTCGTGTTGGGTAAAATTATGTCAAGACTTAAAATTGTTCTCATGAAACGGAAAAAAAAAACTACAGTAGCCAAAATTGCTCATACGCAACATTTTTAAAGCCTTTGCTGCTCATCAGGTTAGAGTTAACAGGGAGTGATGGCGCTAAAATGATTGTTCTCAGTCTGACACGGTGACCTGTAACATGTGTGGTGCAATCGTCATTTTCTCACTTAGACGTTTTCTCACCAGATGCGTGTTTTCATTTGTATGTGCGTGTATGCTGGGGTGGAGGGCTTTAATAAATAAGTATATATATATATATAATTTTTTTTATGCCAAAATAATTTATGTCACTTTTTTACACTTAAATGTATTGATATCAAATAGGGGGCTAACAAGAGCAGCGGAGCTGGGGATAGCCAGCAGTGGTGATGGAGGTAAGGGGCACACTATTTGGCAGCATACAAGTGATCAGGCGGATTCTTCAGCTGCCCAAACACTAAGAACAAAATACATATTCAGAAATTGTGCTCCCCTATGCCTGAAAGCAATCTTTAGCTGGCTACAAACTACAGCCCTCCACTGCCCCCCTCCTTGGCCAATGAATACAATTCTTGATAGGCCAATGAAAAAAAAGAACTAGAAGAAAAAATGGTGTGGGGTTCCCCTTAAAATTCCAGCTAGACCCTTATCTAGGTATGCAGTCTCTGTGGCTAGAAAAGGGAGTTCAGTGAATGTTGAGGAACAAGGGCCTCTTCCCCTCATACTGTTTCCCAAAAAAGGTTGTAAGGGTTTGCCTATAGGACTCTGGAAGCCCTTCTATACTAAGGACCCCACAGATATCTGCCCTCTTCCAGGGGAATGAGTAAAGCAGTAATGTATATACAGGCACAAGGTTCCCAGGTGATGTCATTGACCTGAGTACCAGTGGGTGTATATAAAGTTCCCCTGAAACTGCTAATGGTGAAGTGTTGTAGCAGTGGCCATCTGATCTGAATAGACACCCGACTCTCTTAAAGGGGTAAAGTATAATTCAAGTCAAAACTTTTTATATTTGGATAAAATAGTGATTAGCTAGAACCCCCTGACTGTGTCTCGAGTTAGGGAGACTCACTCTCTAATTGTCCTGTTTTGCAATATCTCCAGAGGGGGAAATGGAGGGTAAAGCTATAAATCCGTACTTCCTACCAGAACATGCATAGAGGGGAAACCTTCCTCCTCCCCCCCCACATTTCTGAGATGAGAAAGAGGGACACCTTCCTGCTCAATGTGTTTAGGCAATGGACTCACCCCCTCTGCCACATCCCCAGTAACACGGGCCATTAAGAATTTATATGCCAAAATTAGTTGGTTGAACCCCGAATTGTTTTTTTTTTTTCAACTTTATACTGCAAAATAGCAAACAGGATAAGATCTTCCTGACATTGAAAAGATATCTTCCCACTTCCTGTTGTGTCTAAAGGACAGGAAATTAAAGAACATCTAAGTAATGACACACAGATAGCAATAATAATAATAATAATTAAACTGACAGTTCTTTTTTCCTCCCCTAATCTATCCTAAATCAAATATATATACACAATACTTTTCCCAAGCTTAAACTAATGGCAAGGTATAAAACATTGCAAACATTTTTTATAGTAAGTGATAATCAGTCCCAAGATATGCAACAATTATCCTGCGCAAGGAAAAATAAAACTTTGGGGAAATAACCAATGCACATGAGAGGCTGCATACTAGAATAAAAACCTCTTATAATCAACATATTGTTGCACTCCGGTGCAGTATACTGGAAGACACTCATCTCATGATATCTTTTATTATCAATAATAATGTCAAGACAAAAGGAACAATTTTTAGTATAATTATTATTATTATTTCATGTAAAATATAAACTAATCTTAATATAAAGGTAATGTGTTTAATTTTCTTTTGTCTCTCAGTAATTATTTCTTTTAAGAATAAAATGGCTTCATGTAACTTTGAATTTGCATTGTTTAATTTTATGGATTGTCATACAGTTATTATTATTATTATTAATATTATTATACA